TTTATTTTAGTCTTCATTCACGTTGGACTGAGAACATTCTGTTTACTCTTTCTGCAATTCATTTGTTCATAAGAACATTAGGTTTCAAGATATTCCTTCTGTCTGCCAGTTGTATAGAGGCTTCTTATACAGTAAAGCAGAAGCTGGACATTTGGGAAAAAGAATTGCTCTGAAATGCTTTCATATGAAAGAATCTTATAGTATTGAGACTTTCTTAGGAAATGGTTTTCTTTGGCAGTGGGAAACCTGTATTGCTGAATTCTTGGGAATCTCCAGATTTAGTAATGTTTGTGAGAATGTTTTTCATTAAAACTCTTTCCTGAAAAACTCAGACAACCTTCCATTGCTTTGTCTTACAATATTTAACACCCTTGATGGATCTAAAATGTGATGTATAGGTCTCTTAATAATGTTGTTTCTAGGAGGAAGAAGAGGATAGAGACTTTTCCCAGGATACTCTGCAGTTAAGATCTGTAATAATCTGTTATTCTGAAGGACGATGTCTGTCTCTTGGCTGGGTGATTGAAATTAAATTGGGGACTCAAAGCAATCACATCAAGCTGAGACTCTTTCCTGGTGAAGTGAAATTGCTCCCTCAGGGATACTCACAGATTGGGAATCTGTAACATAGTGACTTCTCCACCTCTGGGGCTTCTCATCAATAACAGCTGAGATTCTCTAGCACCTTTTTGTTTAAAGTGCTCCACAAACTGATTTCCTTGCTATACACAGGGATCATTTCAGCTTTCCCAAAAGGCAGCTGCCTCTATAGTGAAAAGTGACAGCTGTTTTACAGCTACAAAGCAATGTTCTACAATATGACTTTGTTTTTGTTTCCTTTCACATAAGTGTATCTCCTAGCTACGGAGCTAAATAATAAAGGGGGAGAAATAAAGGAGTGTTCATGTGGGTGAAAATGTGACCCAACAGGAAAATTAACATCATTTTTAATTGACATTGAATAGGATGAGTAAATTTTAGCTTTTTGAGTTACAATTTGGCAGAGATATCAGAGTTAGTACTGATGCAGAAAGATATTTTTGTCATCTATAAATAATTCCTGAATGTCACTTCTATAGAACATTAATAAAAATACATGGTCCCCTGGCATATAAAGAGAAGAGGATTATATTTTGCTAGTGCCGTTTTTGGATTACCCTAAGTAAACCTGTGTTAGAGGAAAAGCTATTTTCAGATGCTACAAGCCTCAATGTAAGACAGCTTGCTAAAGAGCCTAGACCTGGTCAAATTTTGCTGTCTTCTCCATTCTTCTTGGTCTGGGTTCCAGCTATGATTTGGTAATCACTATGGTAGGATGTAAATAACAACTATCAGACCAAAACAAAAACCAAAAAAAATGTCATACCCACTATAATACCCTATAGTAAGGTTCAATTTATACATTATAAAACTTACCTAAGTGAATTGATGCTATTCTGTGAGGTCAATAAGCCAAATGTTATTGTTCCCACTTCTAAATGAGTCTCAGAGTTTGACTTACCCCAGATTATACTAGCAAATAGAAGAACTAAAACTTTATCCCAGGGCTTCTGTCCAAGCCACGCCTTTTTTAAACTCTTGTTTCAGTTTTCATCTATATTACACATGGATGTTCAGGAAGAATGGAAATTCTTTTGACAGTAGACTCATGGGTGTGTGTATGTGTTCTCTGATTTTCTTTTCTTATTTATTTATTTATTTATTTATTTATTTAGTAAACTCTACGCCCAACATAGGGCTCCCACTCATGACCCTGAGATCATTTACTGACTGAGCCAGCCAGGCACCCCTGTCAATTATTTATTTTTAAATATTGAGTGTGTGTGTATGTGTGTGTGTAATACAGTAGTGCCAAAGGTAAGGTTTCTCCTCTCACATGTACAGTCTACCTGGGATATAGGGTAGAAATGTGGTAAAGTGAAATTAGAGTGCAAGTTGTATGTGTCTGAATGCCAACTGAGCAAAGCAGTGGGGAAAAGGTCAGTTGAAGTGAATGAGGACAGCCTAATTTTCCTGTTGGGTCACATTTTCACCCACATGAACACTCCTTTAGTGGTTGGGTAGAGAACATGAGAGAAGAGTCCACGGGTATGGTGATCATACTTGTCAGAAAGGGAGTAACTTAAGGTGGTTCTGAGGTTTGGAACTGAGTGAATAATAAGGAAATCAAAATTGAGAGTTGGTGGAGTAGGTCAGTGGGTAGAGTAGTTGCTGATATAGAACAAAGTCTCTGAATCAAGCTTCACCTCCAGGGCATCCCCAGCAAATTAAGAGCTATAGGACTGCAGTTAGGAGAGAGGCTGGAGAAGGATGGGTGATCATCTGGAGAGCTGTAATGACTAACATGGGATAGTTTGATAAGTTCTTCGAGAGATTGGAGGATTGAATTTTAGGGAATATCTGGTGTCGAGAGGGAAGAATAGAAAAAAATCCATAAACCCTTCCTAAAACTCTAAATCTGGAGAGTCTGATGGTCTGACAGTTGAAGGTTACCTCTGTTGTTTTATAGCAGAGCACTGGCAGTTCAGTTAAACAGCTGCCTCCTGGGTACCAGGCATCTTTGGACAATTACGTAGATGGAGGTAGTTGTATGAGATAACCGTTACTACGATGAGGAGATGTCCCCAGGTAGGTTCTCTGTGTCTTTAGTCTTTTTAGGAATCTGGTTGTGTTTTCAAGAGCATACCTCCCAACCCTCACTCTAGGGAGTGATATACACAAAGAACATAGGCGAGAAGAATAGTGGGCTAGAGGAACTTGAGAAAATGTGAGGATTTATTTTATTTTTTATTTTTATTTTTTTTTAAGATTTTATTTATTTATTTGAGAGAGAGAGAAAGCATGAGGTGGGGAGGGTCAGAGGGAGAAGCAGACTCCTCGCTGAGCAAGGAGCCCGATGCGGGACTCGATCCCAGGACTCCAGGATCATGACCTGAGCCGAAGGCAGTCGCTTAACCAACTGAGCCACCCAGGCGCCCGTGAGGATTTCTTTTAAAGGGGACAAAGGATCAGGTTGTTGTATTGTCATTTAAAACAAACCTGATTTTTTTTTTTTTTTAACAACCAGTTTTTAATACTCTAGTTGCATTGTGAAATCTTCCTTTTCTGCATTCTTGGGCAGTTAGAAGTTTTCCTATGTGCAGAGTTCACTGTCTTAGTCTCAGAATGTATAGATGACTGCTGAGATAATGGAAATCAGTGCCCTACATTAAACTTGATCAGTCTCTTCCTATTTTTACTGGAGCCAAAGGAAATCATCATTTGAATAAACTACTGAATGCCCTGCTCCTGCCCTGTAGCACTGGGTATATGTGCCTGTTTTGTCATACTGTTAAATCCATGGGCATCTCCACGGCTTCCAGATCTCTTCCTGCCAGTTTTCATGCTATTCTTTTAGTTTTGTTCTTAGTTTAGAGAAAGATCTTTGTAATAAATTTGTTAGTCTGGTTGCTTAGCAGCTTGCTGTGATTATGTAGCTTGGAACAGATACATTGCCATTTGAAAATCTTGGTTTCCAGCTCTGATTCAGGTATATGTTGCCTCCAAGCTTGGAATTGAAAGCTTTTTGGCTATTAGACCAACCATCATTTGAGTACAAATGAATAACTCTGTAGCCTTTAGTAGAAAATATCTTTGTTTATATATCCCTTTGTCCTTTGTGGGTTTTTCTGTTTTTCGTTTTTTACCCTCATAGCTTATGGCACAATCTTACAGACATTGTAAAATCACTAAACCTTCATAAAAGAGTTAATTTTTCTTTCTTTCTTTCTTTCTTTTTTTTTTAAGATTTTATTTATTTGACAGAGAGAGAGCACACAAACAGGCAGAGCTGCGGGCAGAGGGAGAGGGAGAAGCAGACTCCCTGCTGAGCAGGGAGCCTGATGCTGGGCTCCATCCCCGGACGGACCCTGGGATCATGACCTGAGCCACCCAGGTGCCCCCATAAAAGAGTTCTTAAAATTTTATTTAGATGCATGAAATAAGGACCTAGACCAGAATGTTGAAGGGTGATTTGGAGAAACACAAGAATCCTTTAATGGTATTTCTAAGGACGTTCAATTTTCAAATGAAATTTATTTTTTATTTCATTTCCTTGATAATTTTTGTAACGTCCAGTTGATGTCTTTTTTTCTTGATTGTTAAATGAAGATCTTATTTCCTCAAAGTGTTTCCAGTTAAAGTCTATTCAGAACAGAACTGTCTGTAAGGACACCGTTTTTAATGTAATATCAGCAGGTCTTTGGGGGGAAATATGAAGCCTGAAATTCACTTCACAGAACACAGTAGCAAATGATTTTTTTACTTTGCCATTCTAACTGTGAAGGTGGTGTATTGTCTCCTTGACGCCAGAATGTGGTACAACATAATCCTTTGCCTATACTTAGTATAAATTTATTAGACATAGTCCCTGCACACAGTCCCAACAGAGAGCCCTGCATTACAGAAATAATTCTTGTGCTGCTGAGCTGGCTATTTCTTCACTTAATCACTCGTGTGACATCATCTGAGCCGTTGGTAGGAAATGTGCTGACCATGTCCTGCGTTTTAAAAGGCAGTTGCAATAGAGGTACTAGCTAAAAATGAAATTAAAAATAAACCTTTTAAGTTAACGTTGAAGGTCTTCAAAGTCCAGAAGGATTAAAGTGGCAAAAGCATATTAATCAATAGACTAAGAGCCACATTTTATAGTTGGTCACCTAGTAATCAACTGACATGCTTGTCCTTAATTGCTTTCCTCACAGCTCCAGAGTGATTGCAGAGTGGAGGAAAAGAAGTAGGCAGGAAGGGGATGTTATATTTGGAGGTCTGAAGTGCTTTTCTGATTTTCAAATGAGTGTTAAACATTCCAACTTTGTTTTTATAATAAAGATCATACAAAACACTGATTGTTGGCTTGAAATCCTTATAATGGTAGCTACAAATGGAAGAGTCCAGATGTTAGTCACTGATGGCTATATTGGATTGCTACCGAATCTTTTGTCTGGGGGAGAAGGCAGGACCCCTAATGTATATTTGATTTCTTGGCAGAAAGATGGATACGACGATGCTGAATTTGCGGAATCTGTTTGAGCAGCTTGCACGCCGGGTGGAGATTCTCAGTGAAGGAAATGAACTCCGTAAGTCATCCTGAGCTGGCCTGTGTGAAGAGAAAAAACAGATTTCAGATTTGGGTTTTCTGCAAAGCTGAAGTGTGTTCCAATCTTAAAAATTGTTTTTCATTTGGGCTTCCTAAAAGGAAAATGATGGTCACTTATCCATGGTCAGAGCTTAATGGACACTCATTCTAACTGGTCGCTTTTTTCCTATAGTTGTTCTTAAGTGGGTGTACCCAGATTTCTTTCATTATCAAGAGTCTCTTTCCACTGAATACTTGGCATTAGTTGCCAATTTCACTTTCATACCAAGAACTGGGTAAAATCTGAAGTTCCAAGGATGTTGCTTATTTCTTTAGAGTAGTTGTTGTCTATATTTTTTATCCTGGGCTTTCCCTCTGTGCTATAAAACATTTTCAATTGAAGAGGAGAAAAATGTCATAATTTCTATTTGAAGAAGGGACTGTTCATCTGCTTTCACCTATTTCACGTATTTGATTCTTAGGAAGAAAGGATTGAAATTGGGTAGAGAGTTGGGGAGAAAAAGGAGGTGGTGATAGAACGATGGTCTGGGAAGTAGATTAGTGCAGAAGGAGGGGGACTGATGGCCCTGACTTAAGTGATCTAAGGAATTATTTTTTATCAGCTTTTCTTTGGGTTGCTGTCATCTTCCATTTCAGATTTTCATTAATACCTAATTTAGTAAGTGTTGCTCTTAAGTCAGTCTCATTGGTATAAAAGTAATGTAAGGGCGCCTGGGTGGCTCAGTTGGTTAAGCGACTGCCTTCGGCTCAGGTCATGATCCTGGAGTCCCTGGATCAAGTCCCACATCAGGCTCCCTGCTTGGCAGGGAGTCTGCTTCTCCCTCTGGCCCTCCCCCCTCTCATGTGCTCTCTCTCATTCTCTCTCTCTCAAATAAATAAATAAAATCTTTAAAAAAAAAAAAAGTAATGTAAGAACTGTGTCTCTAACCTTTATTTATTGATTGATTGATTGATTGATTGATCTTCACAGTACTTAGTATGGTGTCCTGCTTATGCCATTCAGCATTTTCTTTATTTGATGTTTTTAGTAGCTCTTATCCACTTACAGACCTTTTAAAACAATATTCTATTTTCTCTCTCTTAATAGCTGTTGCATGACCCTATCATCTGATAACCAGCTCAGTAACCATGATGGCATACTAATTAGGCTTCTCTTTGAGGTCACATCATCTTAGAAGATGGATTACTTTGGAGCCCAGTGGGGAAGAGTATTGAATAAGAGATCTTAAAATTCAGCTCATTCAGCAAATATTTAGCAAGAACCTAAAACAGCTTCTAGCACATGTTGAGTTGAGGGAAAGGGATGACTGACTAAATGGCTTCATGGATGAAAGTGGGGTGGAGCCGTAGATGTAGGGCAGGATCCCAACAGACACAGACGAAGGAGGGCATTTAGGGTGGAGGCAAGCGGGTGTGGGGCTTGAGGGGAATAGGAGTAAGGGGGGAGTGGCATAATCAGAGCAGAGCTTTCGGAAGATGACCCTGGCAGAGGGGGAGTCCAGGAGACCGATGAGGATGTGGTTGCTATAGCTCAGGGAAGAGGCAGAAGGAGCCCTAAGTAGAATGGTGTTTGTGAAGAGGGAAATAAGGGGAAATGGGTAGAAGAGACTGTGATAATAAGATCTCTATGAGGAGGCAGCTGATAGGATATGGGAGCAGAGGAAGGAATCTACGGTTTGGAGTCCCAATAACTCGGGCTGGCTTTTAACTCATTTCTGTGTCTTTGTCTCCATCTGTAAAATAGGAATTCAAATGTCTTTATCTTTGTGGGAGTGCTGTGAGCATTTGTGGATAAAAAATGAGAGACTAGTTAGTTGTGAAAATACTTTGGAAGTGATTATGCCGAAAAAGTTAGATATTTATTTTTACAGGTATCCTTGTTTTATAAAAACATTTCTATCTTCCCATTGATTCCTGTTCTAAAATAGAGGTATGTTTTGCCTCCTTCTCCAAGTCCCTAACTTGGAATGTTGGCTTTTGAGTAAATAGGGTGGCTTCATCTTTTCTAGACTCTAGAATCTCCTTTATACAACCACCTCAGTCTCTGTCCTCTTCTTTGATCCTAGGAATTCCTCCCATGGTTAAGTATCCTGACTCTTTATTCTTGTCTTTCATCGGTCACTTCATTTTTCTCTCTCCTTGTATAGGTTTGTTCATGTTGTTGTTGTTTTTAGCTAAGTCCAAGATTCCTGAAAGATCAGAGTGAAGGTTAATATTCAAATAAAATGACTGTAATAACCTACTTATCTTTGATTTCCCTGGTCTACATTGTTTTTATCTTCTATTCTTATTTTATCATGAGCTGCCTGAATTTTTTTTCATGTCGTTGGTGTGTAAATTGGGAATAAATAGAACTTAATATTTATCAGGTACCTATTTTGTACCAACACAATGCTAGTGGGTGTAGGTGCAGCGCCGTGTACAGTAGGTGATACTACAGTGTATATGACTTGGTGCCTATCTTCCAGGAGATTATGGTATTTAAGTTTCAGAGATAGGTTTCTTATGAAACAGAAGATAAACAAGTGTCAGAATATATGCTTTTGGGAAGTATAGAAAAATGTAATGTGGAACAAACGGATTAGGAAAGGATTCATAGAACAGATGGGACTAGAATGGATACATAAAGAAGAGTGTAGGTAGAGCATTCTGTTTGGAGTACACAGCTTGATCACAAGGGAGAAGGCAGAAATAAGCATGGGTCTGTTCTGGGAGCAGGGACAAGAAGGGGTATTGTGTAGTGGTGGGAGGTAAGTTTGAATAGACTGGTGAGGTGGGCTTGGATGCCTGGAGTTTAAATTTGATCTGAACAGCAATTCTTCATTTATTTGTTCAATGAATATTTAAGTGCCTACTGTGTGCTACAAGGCACTGGAGATAAAAGAGACACAGCACCCTTACCCTTAAGAAGCTTAGAGAGTGATGGGGAAAACCAAGGAAGAGCCTGTGCAAAGGCACCAGGAAGAGTGAGCTGAGAAAACAAGATCTCTGGGACGGTTTTTTTTTTTTTAAGATTTTTATTTATTTATTTATTAGAGAGAGACAAGGACAGAGAGAGAGAGCATGAGAGGGGGGAGGGTCAGAGGGAGAAGCAGACCCCCTGCCGAGCAGGGAGCCCGATGCGGGACTCGATCCCGGGACTCCAGGATCATGACCTGAGCTGAAGGCAGTCGCTTAACCAACTGAGCCACCCAGGCGCCCCTCTGGGACGGTTTTAATCTATTTGCTGAACAATGAATCAAATCCTTTTTGTTGTTGTTGTTGTTGCTCTTTTGTTTTTAATGAATCAGAGATTATCCTCAATTTGTTTTAAGGAAATTTTCCTTAATTCCTTTTTGATAGATGCATTTCATAGTTTAATATATACATAACTCTTTAAAGGAAGTTAATACATCTTTTGAACGTGTACTTCATGACAGGGGCTAGTACCAAGTTGGAATTGTGATTCACAAACTGACCCAAAAAATACCATGTTTATTGATCTCCAATATCAGAATTTTTCCTGATCTGTGATCTAACGTGCCATTTTGACCCATCCTGGCAAACTTAGTTCATAACAGAAATGTACCTAAGTAATATCTTAGGTATGCAAATGTTCTGGTTTTGGTCTAACACAAACCAAGTTGAACTAGTAATTGAATCATTCATACTATTAAAATAGGAACTATTTCCTGGAAATGAACTGATACTTTATTTGGTTTGAGTTCCATCGTCCAATTCACTTAGACTTATAATATATGCCAATTAACAATGAGTAGGGATTAAACCCCAAATTTAATAAGGTTTATCAAGAAGGAGTGTCCTTGGGGTGCCTGGGTGGCTCAGGTCATGATCTCAGGGTCCTGGGATGGAGTCTGCTTCTCCCTCTGCCCCTCCCCCCACTCATTCTCTCTCTCTCTCTCAAATAAATAAATGAAATCTTTTTTTAAAAAAGGAGTGTCCTAAAGAACAAACAAATGAGCAAAATTAGGTCCAGTGGAAATCTTTTCTTTTCTTTTTTTTTTTTTTAAGATTTTATTTATTTGAGAGAGAGAGAATGAGAGACAGCATGAGAGAAAGGAGGGTCAGAGGGAGAAGCAGGCTCCTCGCCGAGCAGGGAGCCCGATGTGGGACTCGATCCCGGGACTCCAGGATCATGACCTGAGCCGAAGGCAGTCGCTTAACCAACTGAGCCACCCAGGCGCCCCAAGTGGAAATCTTTTCATTTTCAAAATTGTTTTTTAATTCAGTAGGTATTTGAGTGTGTATGGAGCACTATATTTAGAAACATTTAATGGACCACAGTGTGGAGCTAGAAAGTTTTTAGACGTGTAGTTGAAAAGTATATTTCTTGTTCTTTATTTTTTTGAAATTGAAGTACTATTACATACATCAGAAAAGTACACAAATCATAAGTGTAGTACTTGAAGAATTGCCAGAGTGAACATGGCTAAGAACTAGCTCTTTAAAAAAATTTTTTGTGAATCTACATTGTTGAAATAGTTAAATTGGCAAAAGGATGTATTTTCTTTTTCTTTAAATTAAGAAGGAAAAAAATTTAGTTATGTGTTCTAAACTTAACAAAACCAACATACTATTTAAAGCTATTTGAATTGTAGCTATATATATATATATATATATATATATATATATGTATGTATGTATATGTGTACATATATTTATCTTTTTTTTTTTTTTAAGATTTTATTTATTTGAGAGAGAGAATGAGAGAGAGAGAGCACATGAGAGGGGGAGAGTCAGAGGGAGAAGCAGACTCCCTGCTGAGCAGGGAGCCCGATGCGGGACTCAATCCTGGGACTCCAGGATCATGACCTGAGCCGAAGGCAGTCGCCCAACCAACTGAGCCACCCAGGCGCCCCATATATTTATCTTTGATAGTTGCATTGTCTAAGATAACTAGGTCATAATATCCTGTTCTGCTAAAACCTGTTGTTTGTTACAAACTGAAGTGTCCTTTGTGTAAGACGCTTTCTCTAGATTGAATTGGCAGTCTAATTTGT